ATCTTGCCAGTTCATTTCCCAATACTGATGATTTATATCAACACGCCTATTTTCCGTTCTATTTAAAACACATTTTCTTCTACACGTTTCTCTGTCACATCCTGGTTGTACCACATGATTTTTTTTCTGTCTTCGACTTTTTTTTGTTTTCTACTATTTATATTTAACGCATATTTTTTCCTCTTCCTTAGATCTACCGTTTTTGTATACATTTCGCATTCAACATCATCATCAAAAATACGGGTAATGAATTGATATCTAATGTCTCTGACCTCTGTATGCACCAAATAGTCTAAAAATTTGAAATGAAAAATTTTGTATATTCAAATAATTAATGAAAATAAAAATCTTTACTCTTTTTATTTCAACTTTATTTGGAAAATGATATAATTTTGTAATAATAATTTATTATATACCTACTCCGAAACGATTTAAACTATTATACATACATTGTAAGTTTTATTACCTTGTTGTAGAAACGCCTCTTCCTCTTCATCGAATATTCCCGTAGAATCTTTATAACATATATTTAATTACACTATTATTTCTATTTTATAAATATATAGTTGAATGTTTTCTTTTAATTTTCTTACCAGGTGTGGAAGGTATCACATTGAGTTCCGGGTCGTAAATAAACTCATCTTGTAAATTCATAATTAATTAAATTGTTTTAAATTGTTTAAAATAAAAGTACAACACTAAAGTCGTCGTAATAAAATAAAGTACGTATAATAATTCGCGACAACCGTGCATATAATACTGACGACTAATAATAATCAGAAAAAAAGTCACATTACTATAATATTTTTATCTTAATATATATTGATGAGATAAAACAACCATAATAAAATCATAAACTTTCCAAATAATATTGAAGATAGCAGTTTGGAAACTATTAAATTAATTATATATATTAAATATAATACATTACCGTTACTTCAGAAAAAAGATTGAAATGTTAGATAATAACGCCGTAACTCAGGTAGAACATGGAAATGTTATGCGAAAACGCCGTATGTATAGACATATTTACGGCTTTTATCCTTAGCAAGTATAAGATGCGGTGTTCTTACTTAATACTTCTAATTTTTTTTGTTACATACGGCGTTTTTAAATCTAAATTATTCATTTTATTGCCTATTTAAAGTAATTTAAGGGGTATTTTATCTACATTTATAGTGTAAAACTGATGAACATATCAGATGCCGTATCTAACTAATTTTTAAATTTTTTTCGAGTTACGGCACTTTTGCTTAGCAGGGCAGTATATACCTACATTCATCGCTCCGCTCAGAATCTAAATTGCAGTAAATTCTATTAATTAATTGATAAATAATAAAACAATTGACATAGGTATAGGTATTCAAATTAATTTAAAATTCTTTAATTAGGTATTTATTTTTATATTAATTATATTTAAAGAAATGAAAACCAAATGGCGGCATAGTCGTAACCACTACTGAAAGTTTTTAAACCAGGCGAAAATTGGCGATAGCGCTAAAAAAAGAAACTATGTATATTGTATATGCAGAATCCCTCTCACTTTTACAGCATACAATTCAAAAAAGAAGGTAAAAAAAATATTGTTTTAATTCGATGTTTAAATACGATTTTTAATAATTATAATTAGATTTTTAAAAATAGGTACGTTTAAACACAAAAATAGTTTTTGAGTTTTGAATTTGAATTCAAAAATAATCACAGTTTTTGTTAAAAATTACCAAAAAATGTATTTCCCAAGACCAGACCACTGCACTGCGATACATTAGTACGTACTATTATTTTTATAAATATTTCCGGTAGTTACTTTTATTTGATAAGAAATTAATATCGGAAATTATATAATTTTCTAATTTTTAAAAATGTTCATAACAAAAAATATTCATGGAAATGTACATCACTAGTAACGACAACTAGAATTATTTTTTATTTGCTCATAGGGCGACAGATAATTTCGATGAAAGTGTACAAGAAGAAGGAGAAAATACCGGTGAAGAAGATTCATCCCATGAGCTGGTTTTAGATAATGAAATAATAACACATCAATCCGACAGATATTCAACTCCAAAAAGTAAAAAAACAAAATAATTCTAAGGTACAAAAAAGATGACACCATTTCAAAAAGAGTTACTAAGCAATTTAGCTATTTCCGAAGAAAATGTAACTTCTAATCATGATAAGGCATTTTTATATTGCTTATTACCCGATTATAAAAGACTAAACTATGATCAAAAAACAGATTTTCGTCTCATGACTCTACAATATATTAGGATCTAATCAACTACAATCAACTCCGCCATATTTTAACATGAATCATAACACTAGTCAGAGTGTCCCTATGCCACAACTCAATATTCAAATGTATATCCTTGTTCCTTCATTCAATCCCGGCCTGGGGAACAATCAAAATCATAATCTTATGCCACAACCCTTGCCAATATATTCATCTAATTTCAATCCAAATGCTCAACATTCCACACCATACCCTAAAAGCTCATATACTTATATATCTGATCAATCCCAACAACCTACTATCCTACTAGTGGAGATTTGTTTGAAAAATTTTAATAGTATGATAAATAAGTAAAGTTTAAATTATACTTATTGCAATAAGGTGAGTCATTTCAATTTTAAATTCAAACATGACATTTTTTAATTTTTTTTTATAAATAATAAAATAAAAAGGTTTGTTATACAGTAAAATATATATTATATGGTATTTATATTGTATAAAAAAGTATGTAATTTTTAATTTTGTAAGAACATGAAATTGTATAATTTTTTTTCTATTTTATAATTAAATAACGAAGATTGTTATATTTTAATGTTATTTATATTATACTGTTAAATATTATTTGATCTTTGAATAAAAATAAAGTATTACATTTTTTTTCTTATAATATACTGTTTGTCTGTGTATTTCCATAACCTAGTACAGAAATTATGTTAAAAAATAAAAATAATTATTTTTAATTTTTGATAACTTCCTATAGGTATTAGGTGATTAGTGATACATTATTAATTATTAATAATCATATATAACACGTTGAAAACCTTAATTTGTAGACGCTAATCAGCAGATATCGGATTACAAAATTCTGTGGTACTTTTCGTTATATGTTGCCGTGGAGTTTTTAGCAACTTATCAAAACTTAAAATCGTAGAATCCGCCTACGTTTTTGATGGATAGACTCCGAGCTATGCCCCGTTCCACTGCCAAATGACAGCTGGCCCAGCGCAAAGGCGGTGGACCTGGTCAGGGGGAGGGAGCTACAAAGTCACAAACATTGGCGAGTACGACACAAACAAGCCAAACAATACCAATACACAACAAATATATATAATAACCAAACCAATCTCTAGGCTCGAAATCTCGAGACCTGAACGAAAAAGAAAAAAGTGTATGTTAGGCAGGATAAAATTCCTACCAACTGGAGAGTTATCGCGAGGGATAGTTAAGCTGATGAGAACAGAGTTTTATTTATACATTTTTATGGTGAAACATTTAATGGGGACCTAGCTAGTAAAATAAGATGAAACGTTGAGAGGGGGGGACACATGAGAATGGACTATCAGCTTAATATAAATCACATGACAATATAGTAAAAGTACACATAAAAAGAATTCACAATTATATAAGTACACAGAAAAAATAGTCAAAAAGTTAAAAATATAGATCGATAATAGTATAAAAGTGTAAAAAGTATAAAAATATGGTATAAAAGATAATATATGGTAAACAGTTAAAAGTATTAGAAAAAAAAAAACAACAATAATTCACAAGTATAAAAAGTTAATGGTATAAAAATATAGTAGAAAAAAGAACACAGTCATATATATACAAGGATAGAAAAAAGGATCTAGTCCCTTTCCTGTCGCACCCTAGACAGGTGCTCAATGTCTCGTGTTGCTGCAATGGTGGCACTGACACACAGTTTTCGCATTAGGGTGGCATACGACCGGCTGCATAACGTGCGCATAAAGGAGTCGAAGATCCGAGGGCACCGACGATGAATGGCACCACCGTCGCATCACATCCATGCTCCGCCGTTAACCAGGACCGCAACACCTCGTACTTGGTCCTCTTCTCCTCTGCAGCCACCTCGAACGCGGGAAGGCGGTTGTCGAATGGTACAGTAACGTCCACAATGTTTGGGCCCTTCTTCAAAACTAAATCCGGTCTCAAGCCCTGGTGACCCAGGACTTGATTCTCGGAGAGGCCTCAAACTTTGTGGACTATGCCTTCTTGATCCTGGTGACTATGGAGTTGTGCCTCGCCATGTAGAGCGCGGTGTACCGCATGCAGTGGTCGACGACGTGGGCTAGGCTTTAGTTTATGTACCCACACCGTCTACACCTGCGGTCACCGGCTCTCCAGGACGAGGAGCCGTTCAACGCTACGATGTTCAGCCTGGCACGGTGTACAAACCGCCAGTCGACGAACCTCGTAAAGTCGTCATCCTTCAGGAAGTGGGAGGAAGCAGGGTGAGCAGCCACGCACTCGATGGCTCTACCTTGATCGGGTTTTCGCTTCGTTTGAGCCGAAGAGTGTCGCGTACTGTCCTCATGACTGCCCGTCTCTGCTTTCCCCCCCATTACAGTACCTTCGTGTGCGATCGAGGGGGCGCCTTCAAGCGACCACTTGACACCAAGTCGCTTTGAGGCGTTTCGCGCCCTCGACCACACACTCATGACACCTGTGCCCCGGGCCTCCCGAACACTTCTTCGTCATTACGACCAGTTTGAAGGCGCTGTCCACCGCGGCGATATCCGAATCCCCCGCCAGGATCCGGATACCACAACACCCCCTCCTGATCGACCCGTACAGGAATTCTCCCGAGGCCTCTTGCGGGAGATACAGCGTCTTCTTTATCTCCGGCCTCAGGATTTTGTCAACCCTCGCCCAATCGGTCTTCGAGAATGTCCCCAACCGTTGTCAATGGACGGTTGAGGGGTAGAAGAAAGTCTTGAGCGCATCGATCCTTTGCCACGGAGCGAGCATGCTCCTGGCGATGCGCAAGCCGATATCGATGATTTCGGCGAGGGTGGAGAGTGGCGGGACGATGTTGAAACCAACTTGTGCGCCGAGGAAGGTGGCCGCCTCGCCCTCGGCAAGCGGGCTAAGTGGTAGGCCGCGCAACGAAAATCGGGTGTCCCGGACACCCACCGGCCGCCGGCCCGACAGGTGCAGCGACGAACATTTGGCCGCATTCAGTCGGAGCCCCAGCATCTCCAGGCTCCTGTGTGTCAAGTCGATGGACACCTGGAGCTCCTCGAGGCTGTCCGCAATGAGGCAGAGGTCATCAGCGAACGCCAACACCCGATGACCGACCGACTCGCCCTGCAGGAGTGCACCACCGGGTCTATGGCCATGATAAACAGTAGCCCGCTCAGTGGGCACCCCTGCTTGATGCCGGACTGGATCGGGATGTCGGCCGTCAGTCCCCCGGCCACACTCACCGACGACGTAGCTCCGGTGTATATGTCGCGGACGGCTGCCAGGAAGTCGGCGCCGGCCCCACTTTTCTCGATCGCCGCCTCCAGGGCCGGGTGTGGAATGGCGCCGAACGCGTTCGACACGTCCAGCCACGGTAGGTTACAAGTGGGTCACTGTATAATGGATGGTATTAAATTTGAATTATAATTATTTTATTATGATATCATATCATTGTGTAGAAAAAAAACCATTCTGAGCCGAGACGATATATGTCTGTCTAGTTTTAAGGCATATTATAAACATATCTATGGTATTAAAAAAAAATTGATACTTTGAATATCTATAATAAATTCCAAATTAATCATATCACAATATCCATTAGATACTTATAACGCGTTATACATCAACAACCAACCGTGATACTATCATAGATGTACACTTTAGAAGTTTCAAGTACCCACGAACCCACGAATAATATTATACAGTCACAACAAAATAACTAGGTTTTTTAATATGTAATTTCGTCCAAATTTGAACTTAAAATGACTATAAAAATAAACTGCGATGGTGTATTTTTTAGATTTTTAGGTAACAGAATTAACTACTTACGTGGAATCATGTTTTAAATTTTCAATCCTTAGATATAAAAGTTGAACATTTTATACATTTTTAACTACAAAATAATTATTCAATTTTAAATTTGATAAATTTTGCCAAAACTCGATCTTTAAATGCTTATAAAAAAAATGTGTGCCTTTGTATTTTTATTATTTTCCAACTGCTGTTGTAACAATATGTCAGGAGCCTTGTGTTAAATTTTTACACTTTTTGGGCCAACCGATAAAACTTTATTGATATTCACAGAAAAAATAAATAAAAAAATTGAAATATGAAATCATCCGTAAACAGCTCAAAACAAGTCAAAATGTTTTGAAAATTTTATCAAGTATAAGAATTGATAAAATAAACATTTAATGAAATGTTCATGTATCTACAGTTATTCGTGTTTGAATCACAACAAAATAAGAAAATCGCCACATGAGAAATCGAGTGAATATCCAATGTTGTAAAAATTTGAATTTCAAACCCTCCTAAAAATGTAATCCAACTTTCTTATAGACATTTTTTTTTTTGATAAAGGTTGATAATCTTATAAGGAATCTTGTATTACATCTTAAAATCTTAGATTAAAAAAGAAAAATTTTTATGAATTCTTAACTCAAAATAATTTGCTAATGTTCGTGATTTTTCCATATTCTGTCAAGATTTGAACTTTAAATGCTTTTGAAAAATAATTCCGACTAAGGATTTTTAATATTTTCAAATGTCAATGTAACAATATAGAAGGTGCCTTGTAGCTTGTATTAAATTTTCAAGTATTTTTACTCAACAAATAAAGTTTAATTGACATTCATAGAAAAAAAAACTAATAAAATTGGAAACTGAAAATGTCCCTAAACAGTTCAAAATAAATGAAATTATTTTGAACATTTTATCGTGTATAGAAAATGCAAATATTAACAACCAATGAAAATTTTATGTATCTACGGTCATTTGTTGTAAAGTTACACCAAAAACCAAAGTCGATCTTGCTTAAAAATTCCAGTTTTTCCTTAATTTTTCTTTTGTTTTGCTTGGCGCTTTTGAAAACTACTGGGAACTTTAAATTTTGACCTCCCTAATCTACCAACAATATTCACTTTCTAATCAAACAAGATACTGAAGTTGAAAATCGAAGCATTATTTCGACTACTTATCGTGTACACAAAAATAAAAAATTAAAAAATTAAAAAGTAAACACCCATCATTGTAAAATCAATACAATCATCGTTAACCTACTCAGAATCTAAAATAATACTTATTTCTTATATTTCCTACTATTAAAATTGCAACAATATATTTAGAAAAAGGTGCTCTGCTGTACAGTAGGTTACAAGTGGGTCACTGTATAATGGATGATATTGAATTTGAATTCAATGATAAATATCATTGTATAAGAAAAACGATTCTGAGCGGAGACGGTATATCAGTCTAGGTATAAGGCATATTATATACTTATCTATGGTATTAAAAAAAGTTGACCTTTTATAGGTACCTATAATAAATTCCAAATTAATCATATCACAATATTCATCAGGTACTTATAACGCGTTATACATCAACAACAAGTGCTGATACTATCATAGATATATAATAGATCGTGTATTTTAGAAGTTTCAAGTACCCATGAATAATATTATAAAATCACAACAAAATAACTAGGTTTTTTAGTATGTAATTTCGTCCAAATTTGAACTTAAAATGACTATAAAAATAAACTGTGCTAGTGTATTTTTTTAGATTTTTTGGTAACTGAATTAACTACTTACGTGAAATCTTGTTTTAAATTTTCAATCCTTAGATATAAAAGTTGAACATTTTATAAATGTTTAACTAAAAAATAATTATTCAATTTTAAATTTGGTAAAGTTTGTCAAAATTCGATCTTTAAATGCTTATAAAAAAAAATTGTGCCTATGTATTTCAAACTCAGAATCTAAAATACAAAAATGTAATAATTTTGACACACTGTAATTCGATAGGTACCTATTTAAAAATTATACTCGTACCTATAACGTTAAAACTGACAAGTAATATAATAAAATAATTCTGCATTAGTTATGTAAGTAATCTAGGTCTACCTCAGAGAGCGAAGAGACGTGAATGTAATGAAATTATTGGTAGTAGGTGTTTGACGAATTTGGGGACTAGCGGTGGCGTTTGGACCTTGGAATGCAGTGGCGGGAATGTTTTTAAAAACAAAAACGCATAGATGTGACATAGGCAAAGTCATCCGGTTAAAACGCATGGACCCTCCAAAACGCATGGTTAAGAACGGGATAGCAAAAATATCGCGATTTTGTGAATAGTAAGAGGATATAGATAGGTACATATAGATAGATTTTAGTACAATAAATTAGCTAGGTACTAATTTTGGCTGACAAAACGTCTTCGCTCAGAATCGTATTTCATATGCAATGATTTAGGATTGTATTCAAATTTAACACATCCATCACAGTGACCTTGTCCACATTTTATTTTTGTTCTTACCGAATATATGAATAAGCACCTACTGCATTTTTAGATTCTGAGCGGAGTAAGGAAGCTAGTGCTTTTACAATGGTGTTTATTTTTATTTTATTTTTTATATCCTGTATTCAAAATATCTACCAGAAGGAGTGCTTCGATTTCAACATATAGTACCTTATCTTTTAGCAAATTTGATCAAGATGGTACTTTAGACAGGTCATTTTTCGATTTTCTCAATAGTTATTTAATGCTACTGGAAAAACCACCGAAACATTACGAAAAACCGCTAAGAATGGGATTTTAATTTCTAACCCTTTGTTTGTCACCATAGAAACGAATAAAAAACAATATTATCTATTATAATATAAATTCAACTTACAGGATATAATATATAATAATATAAAATATCCAGACTGACAGACCATCTCCGCTCAGAATCGTTTTTCTTATACAATGATATGTGAAATAGTGATTAAAATATGTAAAATAAAACATTAATACACAAATATATAATTACAAAATTCAAATTAGAACTTTAAATTATAACAGGAGTACAGTACTAACTACTTAACTAGAAAAAATAATAGACAAGACAAACTGAAGAAACCTACGGTTTCCAAGTTCAATCAGTACTGGTATAATATAGAGTATTATCCGTATCTGTTGTAGAAGGAGGTTTTTAATTTTAAATGTCTAAATGCGTCACCTCCGCTTTGGTTATTCAACTAAAATTGTATGTTGGTTCATCCTCAAAAAACAACTGAAACGTTTTATCAATAGATTACTTGAAACTTGGAGGGTGTTAATGGCTTAACTTTTCAAATCCTATAGGCTATAGCTAAATGGTAACTCACACGTGATTTTTTTTCAACTTACCAATAAATAATTTTTTTTTGTTCATCTAAATTCTAAATGATTGCAATTGGTTACATATACATTTTACAAATATATATTTATTATAAATACAAATCTTTGGCCTGGACATCGTCAGGCAGGCATATCCAGCTTACATGTTTCCAATAATTAAAATCTGTGTAGACGTTTGTGTATTAAAATTCTTCGTTTATTTATGATAATTTGAATAACTACTTACCAATATTTATTTGTTTAATTAATGACGCTCCGAGGATCAAGAAGCATGATTATTAGTATATACATTACAAATTATACAATTAAAATAACAATAGTACGAGTATTAAATATTCAATAATTATATTAATAAGCAATCTAATAATTAGTAGGTATTATAATATAAACTAATGCCATTTTCCATTAAAATATAATAAATATTTTTACTTTAAAATGTTAATTATAACTTAGATGAATTATTATTATAATATTTTATAAAGTAAAAGTTACTTGACGATAATAATTGAAATGTTATATTAGCCGCTGCATTGTATTGGTTGTGGTATACACTATAAATTGTATGAAGACCTTTGATACATCGGACACTGTGTGGGCAAGTTGAATTCATCATGAATTCATGAGTAACAAATACCAATCGATAAATATATTTATTTTATAATGTGTTGTTTTTATTTGTGTTTTAAGACACTTGTAAAATTAAATTTGCAAAAAAAATTCTTCAATATTATGAGTGGATTCGGCCGATTCTGGTATCATATGACATATTGAATATTTGAATATAGTTTTTAATACATAATTGTTATAATTTTGTTTATAATAATTGTTTAACAACCGCATAGTAATAAGGTTCTGGATTTGTATTCTGAAAAATAGTTGAAACAGAATCTAAAAGAACAAATAAGTGAAGTTTCCGAAACACTCAAAATATGAACACTAGCCTGAAGTATAGGT